ATTGTTAAAACTATAGCATTTGAGAGTACTTGAATGAATGGGAAATATCGGGAGATTGAAAAGCGGGATGAATTGTTAAAACTATAGCATTTGAGAGTACTTGAATGAATGGGAAATATCGGGAGATTGAAAAGCGGGATAAATTTTTGATGAATTGCATGAAAAGAATGTAATTCTAATAAAAAGTTTAAAAGATTTATTCATATTTGAAAATTGATATATTGGAATAATTATAATTATTAATGAAATATGTTTGCAATGATAATTGTTAGAAATAATAATTTAGAAAAAAATTATTTTAAGGCCTGAAAAACGTATATGGCATGGTTCGGATTTGTCCGGTTTGCGTAGTGAATCCGGTTATTGTAATGCTTGGAGATCATCAGCATCATCCCAAGTAGGACGAGCATCATTTATTGGACGTGGTTTACCATTATTACGTGATAGCCGTGATTCTGAATGTTCACGTGAATTAGTAGTACTTTGCATTGAGGTGATTTTTTTGACATAAAATTTGTTAATGGAAAAAAAAGAAAAAATTGAATATATAAAAGTAAATGAATGAATTGAATAGTCTTTTTATCACTTAGTATCCTAGTTATAGCAATAAATAGCCTGAATAACTTATTTAATTACAAGACTAAGACTCAATCCATCTATCATTAATTAAGTAATTATTGATTTGACTTAATCATTTCTTTCCTTAGCTAATAAGTTAGCAAGTAAAAATACTACACATAAGCCCTAATGTTCCGCCTCTTAAAACAAGCGGAAATGTCGCACATAAACCAGCTTTCATTATCATTATCATTTCTCGATACTAATATTAGAAGATAGGTTCTTCGTTTTTCCTTTATCGGATTAAATTTAATTAAAATTTTAGCAAATTTTCGTGAAGTTATTGAAAGTTTCAAATTTTAATAGTTTAAATTGAAAAGTTTTTTCAAAAATTTTTAAGATTATTTTTAATTAAATGCTAATTTTACTGTATTTTTTTTCTATTTTTTTTCAGAATATGAGCAAATACAATGCTGATAAACGATTGGGCAAGAAGAGAACATATTTTAGTGAATAAAAAATGGCGGAAATAATTGCTTTCATTTTCATATATTTCTCTAATATCCTGTAAAATTTGCATAATACATAAGTAATAATTAAACTTCACTTTGAAGGAATCTAATTCAATTTGAATATTTTCACATAAATACATGTAATAATCGCATTGCATATTAAATAATTGGAATTTAAAATTTGTATTGCTTTTTTTTTTCATAAGCTTTTTTTCACTGCGTTTAATTAAATTATACTTACTGCCATTTTATTGCATATTATTTTCCTTTGCTTTCTCATTTCAGCTTTGTATTTTTTGAATATTTTCCATATTCATTTCATTGCAATTAAACAAATAATTGAAATCATAATTGAAGCAAATAATTGAATATCATTAATGAATAAATTAAATTTTGGTATTATTTTGAAATTCATATATATATATATATATATCGTAGGAAATTTCACCATACTACGAACATCTTTTTTTTTTTTAACTGAAAAAATTTCAAATATGCAAATTTCTCATGCATATGTTTTATTTTTGTAAAATTAATTTTGCATAACTATAAAGGAATAAATTTTACCATACGTAATGAATTTCTTTTTTTTTTTCAAAAGAAAAAAGAAGACAAAATAATAAAATGAAAATAAAAAATTGAATTTTCTTTTTTTTCAAAGGATATTCATTTATTGCACATTTCCTTCATGTTGCTTCTTGTTAATGAATTAAATTTTTTTTTCCCAATTAAATCTCTCTCTAAATTTTTAAATTTAAATTTCTCTAACTTGAAAGAAAAAAAACGAAACTGGAATAAACTAGATTCAAAATCTTACCAACAATTATCCTTTTCATCTTCCTCCGGTATTTCTTTTTATTTATTTGTTGCTTTTTCTTGGTTTTGATGATAAGAAAATATACTGTTATTCTAATGGTAATAATAATGATAATGATATTCATGATAATAATAATGATAAGATTAATTTTGATAAGGTTTTTTCTTTCTTTCTTTAATTCCAAAGATTTATATCATTTATTTGATTTAACCATACTCGGAAACTATTGTTGTTTTCTTCGCTTATATTCCTTTTCATTATTAATTGCTTTTGCTTATGCTATTATTTATTAGAAATTGTTAACTTATGCTATGCTAAATTTTATATTTAATTTGATTAATTGAACTCATTAAAAGTGATAAATATAAATGGTGAATATTCATCCGAAACATATGAATAATTTTATCGATTTTATCGGGAAAGATATCGCGAATATTGCGAAACAATGCATACATACATATATTAAGGCATGTAATTTACATATACTTAACAATAGGAATTAACTATACAGATTGAATTATTGATTTAAAAAAGAGAAAAAAGAAAATATGGAATTTTGGATGATAAAAATAGTCCCTGAAAAAAAAAAGGCAGGAATATTGCATACAAAATAATTTACTGTATATTAAACTTTACCACTTAAATGCAAAGTGTAATAAGAAATTGTTTATTTGTTGTCACCTCCCGATATTAT